CCCCAACACTACCCTACCCTACGCCCCTATAAATAGCCTTGCAACCCTCCCCCCAACCCCACCCTTCTTCACAAACACGTTGAACCCTTTTTGAGGATTCCCTTAAAGAGAGACATCTCGTCATAACCACTCTGCCAGTCCGCGGCTTGTGGGAGCTCCATTGAAGCGCTGAAATTCGATTTGGAGTTATGATTTCGCTCCAGTAAAATAGCACTCAAAATCTAAATTATTCAAGAAGTGAATGGTGGTTTGATCAGCACCCATCAAAGTTCGTTCCCTGGGGATATGTTCAGACAAACCATCCCTTCTTTATTAGTTACTCAAGACTAAGTTTTCTGTGCTCACTTAAACCATGTTTGACCGGAGTGCGCCCCGCCTAAAGCTTTGCGGATTTATTGAAGTTAAACTCTTTATATCACTTACAGTGCTGACAGGCAGTGTGAAATCCCTATATAATGCACCTTGCCATACACATTAAATTTAACTTAAGGGTGTACACAAAACACATAAATTATTCAACTTTATTTTATAAAAATCACCATGTAGTCAGTCACACTCATAAGATAAATGCATTTTGAGAAAATGATAAAAACCTGTTCCTTTCCAACAAATGAACTCTGTGAAACAGCACTTGAATTTTGGTACTCTCGATTGATTTTGTATTTTGATTATTCTTTTGTCCAATTGAACTATATAACCAAGCCGGCTCGGCTCTGTTCCTCAATTCAGAACATAAAACTCAAAACAGGCCAAAACTTTTAATGACTTCGGCAATTATCTTATGAGTGTGACGACAGTACCGGGCACATCATTTAACCTTAGGTCATACATATTACTATACATGGCCTTTTGCGTGTTGACGGACGACCTTACAGCAATATGATATCGTTATGCCTGAGCGGTTCAAGGGGAAGACTGCGCGGAACCTGGTGTAGAATCACAGAAATTGGTGTAAGGAAAAGTGGGAAGACATGGAATAGCATCAAGAGGCTAGCCCAGAATTAATCTATCTATATATCTATCTATCTATCTATCTATCTATCTATCTATCTATCTATCTATCTATCTAT